TGTTTTCTAGTCTTTGGCTCTTTAAGTGCTTGTATAGCAACAACTCTTTCAGGATCTATTTTAACCTTGTTCTGCGACCAGATATGTCCAAGAAATTTAATCTCAGTCTGACGATACTGAACTTTATTTGGATTGAACCTTATATTTTCTTTGGCAGCTCTTTCTAATACTTGCTTTAACAGTTTGTCATGTTCCTCATAATCTTTACCTGCAACTAGACAGTCATCAAAATAAAATATTACATCAATTCCCTGAAAAGTTTGATCATTTAGAAATTGGAAAACTTCAGGGGCACTTGAAATTCCAAAGGGCATCTTTAGAAATTTATAGATCCCATAAGGAGTTGAAAATGAACACAAGAGACTGGACTCTTCATCCAGGGAAGCATGCCAGAAGCCATCCTTTAAATCTAGAACAGTAAATATTTTCTTATCTTTAACCTTACATGAAATTTCGTCCACAGTCGGAATAGCATACTTTTGTCTTATGATAGCTTGATTAAGTATGGCAGGATCTAAACATAACCTTAAATCTCCATTTGGCTTTTCTCTTATACATAAATTACTTACAAACTTTGGAATGACATCTGTCACTTTGGCTATGATTCCATTTTGTTCCAGTTCATTCAGCTTCGGCTTTAACCTTTCAGTGATGGAATAATTGTAACGCCTGGGAGGACACATACCAGGTTTTACAGAAGGATCAATCAGTATTTTCACAGTCTGTTTGAATTGTCCTAAACCTGTAAACACTTCAGAATACAATTTAATAAACTCATCTTTTGACTCAGGCAAACCTGAACCAGAATCAACAGAATGTATCCTTTTAATGAGGTTAAGTCTTTCACAGTCCTCAATTCCCAAAATTGGTCGATCATCCACACTGGATAATATATATTCTGTTACAATGATAGCACCTGCTTTGGTTTCAGTCAGTAGTTTAACAGTGCCTTCTGCTTTTGTTATAACCTGTCCAAATGCTTTTAACATTACATTTGTCTGTCGTACTTTATAGTTTCTATTAATAATTTGGAACACTTTAACTGGTAAGACATTGACTTCAGCACCTGGATCTAATTTAAATTTTACGTAGTGCTGATTATCTAGCTTTAATACTTCTGTATACTCTTTCCTGGGATGTTTGCTCTCTCCACTAGTAATCACTTGATTACTGTCAAACTTTGTAAGTGCCATAATCTGAAAGCACACAAAACATCCAGGGCATTTTAGGCTAGTTTTTTTCTTTCTTTTTTTTTTTAAATTACCAGCGATCCAAAACAGACGAATTATTACCAGCATTTGGGGAAATTACCTGCACGGCTTGAACAGCTGATCCTGTCCCTTTGTTGTTGTTTGGATTTTGGCTGTTATTCGCACCACCACTATTGGCACGATCACGAGTGCACACAACGGCAAAGTGATTCCATCCAGAACAATTTGTACACTGCTTCCCATAAGCTGGACACTGGGCAGCTTGATGCCAGCGATCACACTTCCTGCATTGGTATTTGTTGGCTGATGTATGGCTCCTTCCTCGGCCACCACCTCTTTGTTGATAAGGGCGTCTGCCACGAAATCCTCCTCTCTGGCCCTGATTCTTGCTGATTCTTCCAGAATTGAACTTTGAGCCACCTCGGAATCCTCCACGACCCCGACGCTTGCCTCGAAATTGGCCACCTCTCAAAGCTTCAGCTTGGAGCATTTCCACATTAATTGAAACCGTTTCATTGACGCCTCTTTTCAGAGAAGCTTCCACTCCCTTGCACACATCAATAACTTCCTCCAGAGTTAGTTTTGGTTTACCCCTCAGGGTTTCACTCAGCCTTTTGTCATTAGTGCCACGAATAATTCTATCTTTCAGGAGACTGTCCTCAAGGGTATCATAGTCACAATGCTGAATTAAATTTTTCAAGTCAGTCAACCAATTAGCAAAGGGCTCACCCGATTTTTGATTTCTGTTGTCAAATGTCTCCCGGCAAGTTGTTAGATTTTTCTGGTCTCTTGCCAGTAGATCAAATTCTCTAACAACACTTTCATAATCCTGTCTGTTATCAATTTCTGTCACCACACCCTGAGCATTTGTTTCTTTTACTATAAGCTTTTCCTTGAAAGAATTATACACTTCAAGGGCATCATCCCCCGCAAAGCCAAGCATCTGTGCGAACTTGACCTTGGGTGTGGCATTCTCCAGGTTTGCTCCAATCAGATAAAGACTAAATTTCTGCTTGAATTTAGACCATTCCACCTCTAAATTACCAGCTTTGAAATTAACTGGTTTCGGCTTCGGACCGGCATAGGCGGTAAGCGTCTCCTCAAACTCTTCATCATCCATATCACTCATTTTGAGTTTTTTAGAGTGGGTGGAACAATGGCTATTGCGCAACGATGGGAGTGGTCACGGTTCAGTACTTACTTTCACTCTCTTTCACGTCCCCTTTTCACAAACCAGGAAAATTAATATCTCAAAATGATCAGAAACAGTTCGAATCACGACTGCGCCATGTTCTATTCTGGTTATTGTGTGATAAAGGCGGATGCGTGAGGATAAAGACTCTGGCACTATTTCACTATAGTTTATTAAGTGAGTACACAACACAGGAAACAGTCAAAGGCCAGGGGTCATTAATTAGCGGAACCGGTATTCACCCGGGGCCTAACAGACCAGGGTCAAGGGCGGAACTCTGCAGTGTTACCAACACGTAACATTTAAACTCGATGTATCGTTCTGCAGTAGTACCAACTAGAACATAAATCATATCACCAAATTGACGAATGGAGCTGACTACATGCTATGGGCCAAAGAAATCCAATTACTTTTCCGAAAGGCTGGTCTTCTCGACATCATTGATGGCACCTCAAAGCTGGATGGAATCAAAGTGAAGGACAATGATGATACCGTGACCCTCAAAGAAGCTCAAGAAGAATGGAGGGCCCGTGATGCAGAGGCAACACTCATTATTTATGCCACCATTGACCCTTTCATCAAACGTCACATCCTCATGTGTGATACAGCACATGACATGTTTTCTCAACTAAAGACAATTTATGAAAAGGATAATAATCAACAAAAGTGCAACCTTCTTCAGGCATTCCACAACTTCAAGTTTGATGAAAACAAGGATGTGATGACGAACTTCACTGAAATAGAACTTATTGTATATCGACTGAAAGCTCTGAAAGAAATCCTGAGTGAGGACATGCAGATAAGCAGGGTATTTGAGGCACTTCCACCCAAGTACGAATATTTCTCTACTATCTGGGATTTAACCCCCCTTAAGGATAGGGCCATGCTGTTTTTAAAATCAAGCCTTCAACATGAAGAGGGCAAAAAGGGCAAACCCGAAACCAGCAATGTCTCAAATGTGTGTCTAAACACAGAGACAAATAGGCAGCCAAGAACTTGCTATACCTGTGGACAATCAGGACATTTCCAACGTTTTTGCCCAAGTAAACAAACATAAAGAAAAAACCAAAATGTCCATCACAATAAGCAAAATAACCACCAGTCAAGAGACCACCAATCTAGAGACCACCAACAATCAAACAAGAAGGTTCAAAATCTCAATCCCTGCAGTCTCTGCAGAAAAACAAACCATCTAGAAAAGGACTGTTTTTTTGCCCCTGGAGGAAAGTACTACAAACCCACTCCCCAACCCAAAAGCGCAAATGGAATGACCGCAATTACAAGCAAGAAAGTAAACCTGATCCAAAAAAAAAATCAAAGCGCCACAACAACGGGGAAAAGGACAAACCATCTCCCAAAAATAAAGTGAGTACAAAATTCGATCCTAACAAGATTAAATTCTCTGATGATAATAAAATTGGTGAGCTGTGTGCTGCCACAAGAAACAAAGGTGAACTGTGTGCTACCACAGAAAATAAAAGTGAGCTGTGTGCTACCAAAGATGCAAGCGATTTAATCACTGCATATAATATAGGAGAGCTGTGTGCTTCCAGTAAAACCAAACCAATGGTCAAGTCAAACCAATTTGGGACAAAATCTAGCACTTTAAGCCAAAGTCTAGTTGCGTCAAAATGCCCCAAGAGAAATTGCCAAAAGTCATGTTGCATAAATCAGGCCAGTAATATTTACATGTCCAGCCCAGACACTACACCATTTTGTGTGGATAGTGGTGCGACAGCGGACATGATTGGAGACATTGGTTTACTGGGAGACACAACAGCAGTACATGAAAATATAAGAGTGGCAAAAAGACAGCAGTGTATGAAATCACTTGCAATAGGAAAGGTCCATTCAAAACAGTATGACTTACACAATGTACGATTTGTTCCAGACATAACGCGAAATTTGATGTCAGTAGCAGCAGTGACTGATAAGGATCAGGCTGTGCTATTCTCCAAGACGGGAGTTAAACTCCTTAAAACTGACATAGAAGTGCCAGAAGACTTAATTATTTTGAAAGGAGAAAGAACACCCCAAGGCCTCTTCATGGTAAATCTGGAAATCGTAAAATCAGCAAGAAAAGGCCAAGAATCAGCTTTTCTGAGTGAAAAACAATATGAAAATCAAGCCATGACACTACATAGAAAAATGGGACATTTAGGAATACGAAATCTACAACAACTCCCAAATCTCAGCAAAGGATTAAATTTAAAAATAAAAAATCAAGACTTTCAAGAAAAATGTAATGTATGCATAATGGCACGTTTGCAAAAACTACCACATAATCAAGCAAGACGAAGAGCCTCAGCACCTCTGAGACTTGTACATACTGATGTGTGTGGTCCCATTACCCCACCAACACATGATGGCAAAAATTATTATGTCATATTTCTGGATGATTATACACATTTTTGTGTTATACATTTAATGGAAAGGAAATCAGAGACTTTCAACTGTCTGCAGCAATATGTATCTGAAGCTGAAAACCACTGGGAGAAGAGGGTGTACCGAATAAAATGTGACAATGGCACCGAATACAAAAACAATACTGCAGTGGAATGGCTTACAAATAAAGGTATCAGTATGGAATTCTCAAGCCCATACTGTCCCCAACAAAATGGCAAGGCGGAGAGGATGAACAGAACAATTGCTGAGCGAATGAGAGGACTTCTTTTCGACTCAAGACTCAATCCAGTTATGCGGGGAGAAGCTGCCATGACTGCAGTTCATCTCATAAACAGGAGCCCATCATCAACAGTAAAAACTTTGCCTGCTGAGATGTGGTACAATGAGACTCAAGACCTGTCACGACTAGAACTTTTTGGATCAGTAGTTGTTAGCAGATGAATGGTGAGACAGGAACTGGGTGTCTGATCAGTGTCTGATAGAAGCTACAGCAATTCTGTTCACACAGCGAAGTGACGTCTGGTTTATTGGAGCTCAAATATATAAGGTGGGACAATTGACAGTCGACAAGTTGACGAGCACCAGACAAGGCAGTGAACAATGGCCAACATAGAAATATCAACA